AAAATGAACGATTTTCGAGATAAATCAGGTTTTGAAGCAATAGCAGAAACAATTAGTACAAAGGCAGCAACAACTAGAGTTTAATTTTTTTCAAATTATTTCACGAAATTTGTTTATTTAAGATTAGCAAATGCAAAATTATTTAGAAGTAGCTTAAGAGAAGCCAGTTAAAGATTTGGTGCACAAAATAAATATTTTAAACGGGCGTCCGCTGCCGCGCCGATTCGTGACGTCATTTAGTGCGATCGAGAATCGAGGACATGAATAACAGGGACAAGAGGGCCCGAGGGTATGGGCATAGCAAGTAACAAGCGTCTAGACAAAAATAAAACCTAGTTGTTGAAGCCTATTTCACATATCTGATTTATCTCGGTAGTAAAAGCTTACCAGACATCTTTGTAATGATTACTAAAAAGTATTTGTTATTAATCTAGATATACTTTACTTTGATCTACCTCATAAGTTAGAATGTTAAAGTATTATGACTGTTTATAAGTACAATCTAAGATGTTTATAAAATCTTTAGAATTTGATTCCACAAGACGTGAAAAAACATTGCAAATCTATACTAGGGTTGTTCCGAATGTGAGATTTTTGATATTCCTGAATGAATGCGAATCCGAAAGTGAATAATAATAAATAACTAAAAATTAGCTCTGAACAATAAGTAAAGTGGAAATGTGGGAAATACAGGGTGCAATTTAAGTACAAAAAATTATTTCAAATGATTCCTTGGATCATTTTAAAGAAGAAAATTTCTAGTGAACCAGTTTTCAGTTTTGAAATACAGTTTGTTAAAATTAAAAAAAATGACTCAATATATCAGCTAATGATTGGTTTATTGTATCTCAATTTCTCGTTTCAAATTTTCACAAGAGTGTCATAAGTGGTTTTAGGATTATTTTTACATATCTCCATTAAAAATCTTTCATATTAACTTTAATTTTTAGTTTTTTTAATAGGGATAGACTAAAATGTCTTATGTCGATAAAATTACAATTTGGACAAAAATGGAGATAAAACAGTCCAATAATCAGCCAACAGCCAACGGTGATATATTAAAGTACAAGAATTTTTTAAATACTTTGGTGTTGTATTGAAATTTATAAAAGGAAAATAGATCACAGCCAAAAATGTACTCTTTTTATTTAAACAAAATAAAAAAGTATGTTATAGTTGTGTTGCCAATTCCACATTTTTATCGAAGTAAAATTTGGTTCAAAATAATAAATATTCATTTTCTTTCACGTTTTCTTATGAATTTTCTTTCTGTTTACTGGGTGATTGCGAATTTAAAATTTGATGCAAATAATTCGCTTTCAAATACAAATAGGAATATCCGGAAAATCTATGTCTGTTTAGTATTTAATGATACTCATAAAATAAAAGTGTGCAAAGCCTGTCTAATAATTTTTGTATCTATACAGGGTATTTCATAATGATGTGCAAATATTTTAAGGAGGTGTTTAGAAAGCAATTTTACGGGGGGTACTTCCAACCTGGATAAAACTTAATTTTCATTGTCAACTTCAGTCAGTAATTGTTTTTGGATCTAGACATACTTTCATGAACTGTAAATTTGACAATTTAGCAAACATGAACAAAGCTTTAAGCTCCCTAATTATTAAAAAAAATATTGGTACCATATAATTTTTTGTTATCATAAATTATTGTGATATTTTCAGGGTGAAAATGGGTAATAAAGTACATGGCTTTAAAGAGCAATGACAGATAGCATATTTTTACTATATCTTAAAAGTTTAAAGATATCTTGTTCATATTTAAATTTGACACTAATTTACATATTATTATTTAGTCCGATATGTTGCGCGAGGGATAGTTTTAGGGGATGATTGTCTAATTCACCCTTTTATTTTTGTATTTTAAAATTTTTCAATAAATATTGATTAATTATTAGAGAAAAAAATAATTTTGATATGAACCGTTTTCCAGAAATTCAAATTTTGGATTTATTCAAGCAATGACGTAATTAAAATGCGCATTTTCTATAAATTGTTTAACAAGTCTAACATTTAAGTCTGTGTATGTGACTGATGTTATGAAATTTTATAAACGCACTCTCATATATTAACAAGAACTTCTTGAAAACGATTTAATTTGTTGAAATTAAAGAAAAATACCTATTTTTCTTTAATAGTTTAAAGCTCAACATTTTTCAACAAAATTTTTAATAGGGTAAAAACAAAATCGGAAGGATGGAATCGTAATACCCTTAAACTTTAAGAAATTACAACAAATATTTGGGTATAATTTACACCCACCCTGTATATTGAGGTTAATTAGGAATTTTAAAATATTTTAATGATGCTATACAGGGTGTTTCGAAATTAATGCCAAATTTGAGGGACCTATATATTTTATTTTTTGCTTAAAAAGAATTTGGTAGTATATTTGAATTTCTTAAAAATTATTAATTCGCTAGAAAGCCATTGCATTTAGATACTTTTTGTCTCTTGATATTTTTTTCGTAAAACGCAATGTTTTTGAGAAAAATGGCAATTCAGTCACATTTTGACATTTTGCTCGAAAACATTGTATTTTACGAAAAAAGTTTCGAGCGACAAAAAAGTTTCTAAATTTAATGACTTTCTAGCGGACTAATAATTTTTAAGAAATTTAAATATGCGACTAAATTTTTTTGGCTAGAAAGACAAGGGGGCCCATGAAAAATTGTCTTAAGGGGATTCTCCGCCAAAAAGCATAGCATTATTAGATTCCACATGTCATAAAACCCCTTATACAATAGGGTTCTGATATAAAAAAAGGGGCAGATTGCCGGAGGCTGTAACTTAAAAAAGGGGGCCACTTGGCAAAAATAAAAAATGCGGGTCACCTAAATTTATTTTAAGAATCTATGACCAAATTTTGTTGCATTAATTTCAGGACACCCTGTATGTAATATATTATTACATATACCAGGTTTGCCTTTTATATTTCGGGAATAGAGAACAAAAAACGAATTAATCATTGTATAGGTATGGCTTTATTGTTTTTTTAAAATAATCTCCTACACTTTCGCATGCGCTTGAACCAACTGTCATTTCGAACGCATCAACCGCTTCTTCAAGTGTCGAAAAACGTTGGTCTCGTAATTAATTTTTGATGTGAAGGAATAAAAAATGTCATTAGGTGCCAAATCAGGGCTGTACAGCGGATGACTCGCCAATTTAACTTTGTCATTTCCTAAAAAGTCTCTTGTTTGAGCCGATGCGAGAGAGCTCCCATTGTCCTGGTGGAGAATGATGCGTCTTCAAAGTGTACCATTCACAACTGACCGCCCGACATTGCTCTAATGGGACAGATACCACATGTCCGATTTTTCTGAAAAAAGCAGACGACTATTTGCTTAGAAGTCCTTCGTGTACGAACAACTTTTATTGGATTTGGCTCATCTTGAAAGACCCATACAGTCGACTGCTGTTTACTTTCGAGCTCATACACATAGATCCATGATTTGTCGCCTGTTACGATATTATAGACACATTTTATAGCACTGCGATTGTATTTCTTGAGAATTTCTTTTGACCAATCCACATTTACCCTTTTTTGAGTGTTTGTCAAATTATGTGGGATCTAACGCAAACAAAATTTTTTTGGCCGACAAACGTTCATGCAATACTGAATGTACGTTGGTCCCACTAATGCCCAAGGGTGCCTCAATCTCATGATAAGTCACATGACAATCTTGCAATACCAGTTCACACGCAGCGTCAGTATTTTTTGGAACAACAACTGATTTTGGACGATCTTCACAAAATTCATCACAATTGATTTCCATGTACCACCGATATACAGGGTTATCCAAAAGTCCCAGTATGGCAGAAAAACTTTCAAAGAATGCAATTTGGGAAAAAATGTTCCAGACAGAAGTAAGGATTTTTCCCTGGCTATCTGATGGTGACCTTGGATTTGACCTTGAATTTGGAAAGAAAGTCTCTCTATCTCCTTGCCTTAACTGACTGGGATAACTAGCTACCCTACAGACTGAAATTTTTTAAAATTCTTGAAAAAATATTTTTACAATGACCTTCAAATACTGGTTCATATTTGTACATTTGTTTTTCCGTTCTTCCTTACTTATCAAAAAAGTTATAGTTAATGTAAATAAATTAACCTGACTTTGACATGATCATTGAAGGTCATTGTCAAGGTCATACTTGAAGGTTAAATTTCAGCTCTTTCCAAATCCGTAATAAAAAATGGGAGTTAGCAATGAAAAAACAAGTTTGACCTTGGAATGACCTTGAAGGACATTGTCAAAGTCATGATCAAGACCAAATTTGGACGTAGAATTTCCTGCTCTTTCCAAATCCGCAATAAAAAATAGGGGTTCCCAATTAAAAAACTTAACTTGACCTTCAAATGACCTTGAAGGTCAAAGTCAGAGGTCCAATCAGATAGCCAGGGAAAAATCCTTACACATTTGTCTGAAACATTTTTTCTCAAAATGCATTCTTCGAAAGTTTTTCTGCCGTACCGGGACTTTTGGATAGCCCTGTACAGTAGTATTTGATGGTGCTTCACTGTCAAAAGCCGAATTAAGTTCATCGATGCACTGTAGTTGAGATAATCCACGTCGAAAGTTGTAAAAAACAATCACAGGGAAATGTTAACGACTTAATTCCGTTTTTTGGCCGAGGTGAATTTTTCAAGTCACTGTAAACAACACAAATAGCACCCGTACGTCGAAACGTTCCAAGTAAGTATACCGATAAAAAGTCGAACTTATTAAAAGGCAACCCTCGTATTATATTACACACGAATCCTGGAAAAAATCTATTTAAACACTGCTGAAAATTATTAATTACACTTATTTCTTCTCTTTCTATTTAAGAACATTTTGTATATTTACACCTGTTATAAAAACAATAGAGTTAAGTAAAAGTAAACTATTGTAGAAGGGTCAAACCCTAAAAGGGGTCGGTTTTGTGCAATTACAACAAAATAAATTATTTTTTATAATCGAACAACAAACTTACTGTGTTCATTTTCCTGACCATTTCCTCGCTTATCGCATGACTGAGCTTGACTCGGCCGTACAAGGGATGTGTCTCATAGAAGCTTATGAGATCTACCAAACTCTCAAATTCCACGTTCCCGATCGTATACAGCCGCCCTTCCAGTTTGATTCTGCAGTGCTTTATTTTCCTATCGGCTCTGAAATGTAATACAATGCGATTTTATCCATAGCGGCGTTAAAACTAACAAGAACCCAATCAAACATCAGGGCAGGTCTAGGGTTTCAGATAGCCGGTCTACGCCCACAGAGCCTAGCCTGAGAACAAGGACAAGAATTTTTTTTAATACTCACCTAAAACTTATGGTGTAACAATTCGAATCGTTCTCGCTGGGACGAACCAAAAACGCGCCTTCGGATTTCACCCTCCTCAGTATATCCTCGGCTTGGCTTTTTCCCGTGTTTTTGTGATACCATTCCTTGGTCTCGTGTAAATTTGGCTGTGGCACGGGTTCACGAAGCACAATGGAGAAACAAGGGGTGATCAGTGGGGAAGTACGATAATGCGTGATCAAACTGTACAGACTATCGAAATATTTGGCCTCGATTAGATAATACATCGTTTGTTGTCTGTCTTGCTTGGAGTATATTCGGCAGTGGTTGACCTGTCCCTTATGCCAGAAAGAGAGGGAGTAGTCCCCGACAAAAGTCACACTGGCTCTAACCAAGAAAGTACCGTCACCTAAGATAAATTAAAAAAGTATAAGTTGTGTAAGACTTATACTAGTGGATTGGGATCTAGTTTCTATCCCAGAATTTAAAAAACAAAAAGTTTAATACTCGTTGTCGGAAAGAAAAAATTATATATCCTCATATAGTGGTTTGGTCTTCAAGTGAGGAGAAAAACTCTAAGTAGCATGGAAAAAACTTTATTCTACTAATTTTGTTGGTAACACGAGACACAACCGAGCAGGAACTAGGCCTTAAGACTTCTGGTTTGTGCCTCGAAATGTTTTCGGTTTTATCCTTGTCCCAAGGTACCTACTTTTAATTACCCTATACTAATTAACACTTATTCGGGTCATTACCTACTCGGTTTGTGCTTATGCACCCTAATAAACAACAACTAATTTATGTTTACAGCCTACTGCTTATTCTAATCTCATTTGCTAAATACATTTATTTGGGATAATCTTGGATAATACAAAGTATAATTTATAAGGCTCGTAAATTCCCAGAAAGCAAAAAATATTTATTGGGGCAGGTATTAAATGTAATTGTAGCGTACGGCTACACTCATTTTCCAATGACATAAACTCAAATCAATGTTATTTATTGGTTTATGTAATCGTCATCTAAAAATCACCCGTCTTCACTTGTGAATCATATTAGATAAAAAATTATTCAATTTTGTACAGGGTGAGCCAATTTCGATAGGAGTTTCTTGTATTTTTCAAGATGTACAGAACATTTAAATGATGGAAACTCCACCTCGATGTCTTGACTCCTTTGAAACAAACAGGACATTTTTAATTTTTTATTTATTTTTTTTGAGATGTGAAATAAGTTATTTACATGTGAAAATTTTTGTAAAGTGGCTTTTTTAATCAGTTTTCTGCATAGAACCAGAACTAATAATTTCAACAAAAATATTAAAAAAAATATACATTTTTAAGAAATGAACACCACCACTTTCTTCGTGGTTGAAAGAAGTTACAGCCCATACGATATTTGTCGAGATAGAATTCCAAGAAGGCCCCTGCGTCACTTTCTTGGAATTAACCGCATTTAATACTCGAGGTAGAAACACACTGGCGTCGTAGCGTTCACCGTAGCAGCTTGCTGTGTTTTGCAGTTACGAAAGTTTGTTTCTTCATAAGTGTATCGTCCTGTGTATTTTCAGTGTATTTCTTATTAAAATAAATCGATGGAGGTGAAAAATAAAAGAAAGGCATAACAGAACTTTATGGGTTTATTTCATTTCTTAAATTTCTATCTCAACAAATATTGTACAGACTGTATCTTATTAAGTCGCTCGCATATTAGTTTTTGCATCGATGCATCAGATACACCCATGGCACTTAAGGCCAGTGATATAGAATTGGTACAAATCTAAGAGCATTCTATGACATTTGTTCAACAGTAGAATAACTATTCAGAGAATAACCAACAAAAAGATGAGATAGTACGTCTAACACATATTTAATGAGAATACACTGATAAATGCCAGAATGCGAAAGAAATATAAGCACAAATGATCATTAAAAATTGTTTTATACATTCGCTGTAAAAAATAGTTAATACAGTGCCTTTGATGATTTGTTTATAATGAACAATGACAAACCGTTACGTCTACGCTCGAGATAATGCGATCGCTGATTGGTTGAATAAAATCTTGTGAAAAATTACGCCCAATCACCACCCGATGAAACAGAATGTTGCATTTTAATGTAATCCCGACCTTATTGTTTTAATAATTTTTAAATTTACAGAAATTTAATTGCCAAAGTGACGGAAATAAAATTGTTCCAAATAAAATTTTAGATAACATGAGTATCGAGATGCACTTCAATTTTGATTGAACTTTGTTTTTTTTTTTGGAAATTCGAAAAAAGATGAAACAAACAGAGCAAATTGCTCCTTGAAACGTGATTAGAAGTAAAATAAACTGTAAGATATTAAAAGTAATAAATTAAGTAACCATTTAAGAAAAATGTAACATACCTAGGTGTGAATACGCTCTCAGCAATTGTTCAGCCTCCTTCCGTCCCTCCGGAAGACGTCCATGGAACCACTTTTCACTAAAGTGCAGCTCTTCGTTCGGAACATTAGACTTGGGCCTCTGAAACGATCCACTGTCTTCCTCGTCCTCCGACCTATCAGACCCCTGATCCGGTCTGTAGCTATTCGTGTAAAATAATTTGTTCTGTGTAAGTACGAAGAAGTGCGGCTCCCAATCTTTATCGACGAGATCTTCCAGATACATTATACCATTTTTTACCGAACTCCTGATGTCGATGTCGGACGTCTCATTTTTTATAAATTGAGCGCTTTCTTCCTGGCCTTCGGGCAACTTTTTATGTTTCAGTATGATCTTGTGGCGCAGATTATAAGGAGACGGAAGCTTCGTTTCACCTTCTACCGGGGGAACCACCAACATTTCTCCAAATACTTCCTAATATATTTCAATATAAATACAAAGCACGTAAATTGACGGACAGAAATCATTCATACAGGTGAGTGTCATCCCGGGAACTGAGACGTAACGAAAACATGGAATTGTTTTACTGTTCGCAACAATTAAAGACTGATTGAAAGCTAAATGAGGGCCGCATCTAAGGTAACATGAATGAACTTTGTAATTTTAAAATTGTAACCATTTAAAATGTAACTCTCGATGTCAGTTTACAATAAGTATCGTTCATGTCCCAATGACTAATGGTATTGGTCTGAACAAATCGGTTATTCATACTAATTTTACGCCGAGGGATATAGATTCCTTTTATTACTGAAAACATTTGTATTTTCGTGAAAATGATGAACAAATGGACAGGACCAGTCAGAGTTGCAGGATATAAAAAATAATGGATTTAATACTTTCCAGTTTCCAAAAAATACTGATATGAGGTAAAGATCTTGATATTGAGGACTCTATGACATTTTAAAGACCCCACTTACACCTACGAGCCCCAGGCTCATAATAGTTCGGCCGGCCAACATTTTTAATTAAATTAATAATAATAACAATAATAATAATAATAATAATAATAATAATAATAATAATAATATTTATTACCCAATACTAAAAAAATCAACAATTTTCACAAGTGTATACATCATCTAGCTCCGTGTCAGTTCCAACACGACACAAAGATACACACATTCAAAACAGAACAGAATACAAAATTTTGTTACTAAAATACTTCAAACACATATTTCTTTAACATACTTTTAAATTTAATATGATTATCACAATTCTTTATTATATCTGGTAATGCATTAAACATGTTCAACCCCCTATATAAAATTGTTCTATTCAACAACCCAGTTCTTGCAGTTCTAATAAAAAAATCTCCATGTTTCCTTGTGTTGTACGAATGAATTTCACTCACATATTGAATACTTGAATAAATTACAAATTCTACCAAAATGATGAAAGATTTCCTTAAAACTACCTCACTTGTAATAAAGTATAGACTATCAATTTACTAAATTTAATCACTTTTGACAAAATTCAAATTGAGGAAATCAATAGTTAACAAAAATGCAATCCAACCAATGGGTCATTATAGTTTGGCCACTTATCATATCTGCCATGAAACTGATATACTCCATCAAAACAAAACACATACTGAATAATTCAACAAAATATCTGTCATTATTAGTTTTACCCACATTTTGCTTCAGATTTAATGTAGTGCCTCACGGTAAAGCTCTAAGTAAAGATTTACGAGTTTCTATTATAAAAGCCCATGCGAAAGGTATTTCGGCCTGCCGAATATCAGTTTCTCATTCAATTCCGTCTTCTACAGTGCAGTATATTATTAATTTATACAGAAGAACCGGCGGAGTCGACCAAAAAGTCAAAACAGGCCGACCATCTACAATTACAGAAGCAAATAAAAGAGCTTTACGCAGAATAGTAAAAACAAATCGGCGGTCCAATACTAAAGAAATAACTGCACTATGGAGGGACAGTATAGTAAAGCCTATTTCAATGTCCACAATGAAAAGAACTATTCGAAAAATAGTATTCAAGTTTTACAAGGTAACTTTTTATCTTTTTTTTTCTTGTTTAAATTCTTGTCTATTTTTTATTTTTTTCCAATAGGCAAAAGAAAAACCTCTATTAACAAAACTGCAGAGGAGAAACAGGTTAAAATGGGCACGAGAACATAAAAATTGGACAAATCAACAATGGCACAGCGTAATTTGGAGCGATGAGTCAAAATTTGACGTTTGTGTAGGTGACACACGAAAACGGGTTTTGCGTACACCTTCAGAGGCCTATCATAACGTTTAGTCAAAAAAGTAAAGTTTCCAGCATCTGTTATGGTCTGGGGTTGCATGTCCGGTTGCTCCCAACGTGTTGGGAGCAGAACGCGAGTTGAGAACCGTTGTTGTAGCGGCGTGTTAAACGAATGATCATGATGAACAAAAGGGTGGGCGTTCCTCAATCGTGACTGATGAGATACTGAACAAGATCGAAGAAACGTTTTGTGGCAACCGTCGATTGACTTTGGACAAGAAAATTGCGAGGTGGGTACCACGGGAATTTATCAAGCATTTCGAACTGGAAGTTGAGTAATTCCTTGGTCATATTGTGACTAGAGACGAAACATGGGTGGCCCACCATCAGCAAAATAATTTAAAACCGCTGTTTCGGACCGAAAAATCTTTCTTTGCGACTGTAAAGGTATTCCCTTCATTGACTTTTCGCCCCAGGGGGAAAGAATCAATGCTGCGCGGTACCGTGAAACAAAGGGAGTGTGCTTGCATGTCCAACACCAAAAAACAAATTTCTGGATTAATTCGGTTGGAATATCATCCCGCTCACAGACCTGACCTGATTTTCATCTCTTCTTTTCTCTGAAAGTGTTTATGGGTGGAAATAGATTTCCGCTATGTAAATTTTTCATAAATTAACAACTGTAACGATTTTAAAAAAATTGAGTACTCTTACTTCGTAAATATATGCCTCGTACTTAATAAAAAGCATTTACATCACATTAACTTGTATAAATTAAAAAATAAAAAAAATACCTGCATAGCAATTGCCATTTTCCTTTGCTGTGGAAGAGAGCAGTATTGTTCTATAGACAAAATGACCGGATAATCTGAAGTTACAAAAGCATTCTCCTTGATAGTTTTTATAACGTCCATGAATTTTATTTTAGTCGTCAAAGTGTGGCCGTGGTATATAAAAGGCATACCGTCCGGGCCGTCCCAGCAATCAAGCTCAATACATCTACAACCCATTCTCAAACATCTGGCATACGCTTCCACAGATGATTCGCTTGAGAATTGGTCTCCAGTTAGGTAACTGAAATAAATTATCATTATGTTCGAATTGCTATATAAAACAAATTTATCATACATTTTTTCCTTAGTATGTTGACATTTAATTTGGTACATTTAGTACTATCTCATCTAGATTATAAAGCTCTAAAATACTTGAATGGCCTTTATGTGAAGGAAAATTGAATTGAACATTTTCATTTTTGTTTTTTCAAACTAAATATCATCAACTTAACCCTTTCACTGTTCCAGATGAGTTTATTCGCTAAAAATTTATTGGATTCAAACTGCTCCAGACGAATTAATTCGCTTGAATAGTTAAATTGGATAAGCCTGCTCAAACCGTATATATATTCGCAACCATGCACATTAGAGACTCGGTTGTTGCAATTGGTATAGGGAATTTTTGCAGGCGGACATAACGATTGTACCAATTTAAGACAATATAATGTAAAAGTATAAGTAGCCTAATTGCTCCAGACGAGTATACTCGCACACGGAAAACTTTCGCGCACGGCACAGTAGCTACGTTCAGATGTATTGTGCAGCAAAAGGGTTAAAGACGATAAAAAAATCTACAAAAAGATTCACTGAAGTTGATAATATCAATTGTTTCCGAGAAAAAACTTATTTAATGTTTAGGATCACCTTTAAAAATGGTTGAAATTTTATGAAATACTATCTATTAAACTCTTAAATAAAAAATGTGGTTGAAAAATATAGTACCAATCGAAAAAGTTCGAAGATGAGGAACTGGAAGCATTACTCGACCAAAATTCATGTCAAATGCAAGATGAATTTACTGAATCGTTGAATATTGATCGCACAACTGTTTCCAAATATTTACATGTACTAGGGATGATTCAAAAGCAAGGAAATTAGGTGCCATATGATTAAATGCAAAAAGACAGGGTTTTTTGCATCACATCGTCACTGGCGATCAATAATGGATACTTAAGCTTTGATAAGTGTAGAAAATCATGAAACAAGCCTTGAATTTACAAAGAAATCCCTCAAAATTAGTTCACGGTCCTATAAGTTAATAACATTCAACAAATAAATTATGGTTAAATCGACTTACGTGTTATGAGAAGATGAAATCCAATAATGCGATAATGGTTTTGACATGTCCTGATACACCTTATCTTTGGAAGCCTCCCAGAGGTCATTCTGTTTGGAAAACAGAAAATCAAGGAATTCGGGAATTGTAAAATAAGGCTCTTGAATTTCTCTGTCATGATCCCTTAAGAAATCGCATATAAATTGAGACACTGCCCTGTCATCATTTCCTAATATGTCGTTTTGTTCACCTGTTAGAAAACTTTCGACTTCTTGTAAACTCACCGTTTTCAAATTAGACGAATATTGTAGGATTTTATCAAACACTTCAGCAGGGTTCTAAAAAAAATAATATTTCAGAAATGTAAATTGTGACACAACAAAGCAACTGTACAAAAACCTACAGTGTGCGGACTTACGTTTTCATCTGCTATCATTTTTTGATAAAGTATCGTGAAATCGTCAAAACCAATTTCCCCTCTTTTTCTGGTATCGACTTCATTAAAAATTTCCCTCAATTTGTTGGTAGGAATTTTATAGTTTATTCTTGAAAGGAAACATTTTATATCTTTCAGATTTATCCTGAAATAAATAAAATGGGTACTGCTTCAAAGGAATATAATATTTACACTTTACGTTTCTCTTGGACTCTCCATAGCGTAAAATTCCCGTCTTAGCCATGCTTGAACTTGAAGTGGGTACGGTGCATTTATTGTGTCCTTAACTAAGTATCTCAGTCCTCTTATCCACAGGTCACATTCAACTTCTGACAGAGCTAAAGCGAAATAAAGTAGTGAAGCAATAACGGCGACGATCATATCAAATAGCATAAATAAGACACTTCAATTATTTCTTATTTACCAAAAGTCTCTTTGGGAAGCAAAATAAAATTACCTGCTACACTCAAAACTCTCAACTTAAATTCAGAGCCATAAAACACAACAAAACACTTTGAATTTTCTATTTTTCTTGCATCATCAGGCCATTTCTCAAAGTCTTTTGAATTTTTCCCTAATCTAATTTCTTTAATTTCAGCCCAGTCCACAGCACCGTCATAGGTTGGTTTGGTCACGGTTGCTGGACGAGTCCATATAATTTGTCTTGTTTCACGTCTAATAGCTAAAGTTTTACGTTCAGCCTTTTTTCTCCAAGAAAATTTTGTGACCAGAGTTCCTCTTTCTAACTGACTTATAATTTGTTCCATTTCTGGTATATAACCAAAACAAGAAGATGAAAACATTCCATTAAATAAATTGAACATTGCGTTAACCTGTAAAAAAAATAAATAAAAAGTTCTACCATTTTTTTCAGTTTCGTATATATTAAGCATTTTGATGTAACAGAAATTAGTTTAACCTCATTGGGATGTTATATCTCATGTTCCTTTTATAGTTCATTTTATTAAAATCGCCATATAGGTAACACAAATATAATGGAATATTAAGATTTTGAAAATATGAAGATATTTTTAAAGAGTAAAACACTTATATTGATTATTTTAAAAAATTAATCTACATAAGAATATCATTAAAAATAAATATACTTACCTAGAAAACTTACACTGTAACAATTTAAAAAAATATAGTTTACTTATATAGTAAAACTGATATGCATACATTTAATTTTTTTATATTTTTTGGATTCCTTGTGTGGCATTTTAAAATTAAACATTAATAAATGGTGATTCAAATAAAATCAGTTTTTTATTGCTAGTTATATTTACCAAAACATTAAAATTATAACCACTCACAAATTTAAAGGTAAAGTAACATTTACATTTACACAAGAAATAAATATTTATAGAAGGAAATCTAAATATTTTCTGAAAATATATATTTAAATTCAAATATATCAAGCACAATTAAGAACACTGGTATCAGAAAATAGTTATAACTGTTGATATATACATTTGTAGTTTCCGTTCTCCTATTCATTTATTACAAAAATTATGGGATTATTTTTGCTGCACTTGTTTCTATGAATGATGTACGCAATAATACTATTTTTTACTATATTAAAGAATATAAAACCTTAACAATAACTGTCCAATTATGTATTTAAATAACTGTATTTAATACTTTCTTCCATATTTTGCAAAGTAGAGCAGTATCTAATGATTATCTGTTAGTAAAATCAGTGATAGTTTACAGCACTCATCTATTGTAATATATTCCTATTACATTAACATTAATAGAAGTTCCTACTCAAGTCCAGATCATATCTAGGTATAACTTATCAGAAATGTAATTAAACAGGCCATAAGTAAGCATAATTTTTATGGGATCTCTAAAAATTCACACAAACCGCTTAGACATTGAGCTGGTACAAAGATATGTAAAATAAAAACAAAACAAATTATTTCCAGAACTAGAAAGCATATTTTGTATGAAATATAAAAATTCCAAAAGAAAATATGACCATATGATAAGAAAGATCACAATATGAATAACTATATAAATTTTAATATAACTAAACATATCTTTAGGAAATTAAAACACTATGGAGAAAATTTTCAAATACTGCTCTTTTGAAAATAAATAATGATAATGATGCCGTAATAATAATCGTATTTCATTTAAAATCAATGTCAGGTTAACAAAAAAATACTTACAAGTAAAAAGTTAACTCGGAAGCTTCAGTTCATACCACATTTTTATTTATTTTGTCGTTACTGTGACTACATGGTAGTAAATAGGATATATTAAACATACTTATGAAGGCATTTTTCTGTAATTAACCAATTTTTAAACCAATTTAACAAATATTTCCCTAATAAAACAATCTTTCATATTTGACAACTGACAACATCACAGAACATAAAACAACAGAGTTGCAGCCTGCAGCACAGAATACTTTGTACGGGAGCAAGTAGAAAACATTAGGCTTATTCGATTCATAACAACACTCAGAGTACGTAACAAATTTATGGTACGGTCATTGGTTTTATAAGACCTATGCCTATAATTTAATGTACAGAAACTAATTATTTACTATAGCAACTCCAGTACGCATCTCAGGTTATTCTTGTGCGACTAAACTTGTACATGTCACATAACATTCGAATGAATTATTGACAATATTGTTCGGTCTATATATTTCCACTTCATTGCATCGCTTTTTGTTTGTCACCCTCTGATAAGGTTACTAAATACTGTAAAATTAATTAGAATTATTTATTTGGTAAAACGAAATAAACTAATTTATATTCATTTTAACTGTAATGTACAATAGTCAGTATTTTAATTTTATAATTTAAAAAATGAATGAGATATAAAAAAATCTTACCCAGATCTAACTTAATCTTATAGAAACAGGTAAGTAAAACTATAGATCGTTTTACTTACCTGTTAAGTTACGATAGGTCAGGTTGCGTCTATATTTTAATGTATATAATTAAAACTACCTATACATTTTTTAATTTAATTTAAAAAAGACTTAACTTGACCTAATCTAATTTTGTTAGATAAATAAATTTCCATTTAAATTTAGGTTGGATCAGGTTATATGTATATATTTTTCGTTTTGTTTCATTCCCTAAACTCGGTAAATATGATAATAAATTGCATTCCTGAGGATATGCATTACGAAACTATGAAAATGAATTGAATTTCTTCTTCCCTGGGGCGAGCTTCCGGGAACCCTGGGCAGATTGCTATCGGGAAATTATGATAACAGTTAATAATATGAAAAATAAGGAGGAATGTACTTACTCATGCAGTCTCGAATTTATTCAAGGTGAGATGGCTATTGGACTGTAGCACGAAGTTCCATACTGAAGACTACTGGCACTGGCCCTACTTTAAGACATCGGGATACTTGCAGTTTCAATGATATGACACCATCCCCGGGGTTTACACAGACGAGCCGGCGAAGCAAGAAGAGCGCCAGAAGAAAGGACCCTAGCCGGCGGGGCCCAGACAGGACCAAAGGAGGTCCTACAAAGCGCCTACACTGGCCGCATTTGCGGTAGGGGTAGACGACGGATGGGGCCCACCTACGAAGGCTGTCCAGGCCTACACGAGATGAGGCAGGATAAAGAGGGATAATCTCCCTCGATCCCAAATCATTGAGGCCAATTTCTAGCCATGGAATAATAGCGCGCAATGATGTGTGTTAACAATGATAGGCAATAGAAAATTAGTTACTTCACGCATCAAGAAAAACATATACCTACACTAGAACCTTTCTAGGTAGTAAAAAATTTGACCTTGGGGTGAAGAGGGGTTTTAGTTACAGGATAGTAGGAGTAAACGGTCGACATACACGCATGCGCACTGAGACAAATACCGGTTTATTCCAGAAAATTTTAAGTGCGACCTCCCTTACACTAAGTGAGTCTTAAATAAGTTCCTATAAATAAGATAGCAGAGCAACTCACTTATTAAGACAGATAGACAATTGATTAAAATATAATTCTAAGTGAGATCTTATATATGTATAAGGACAAGACAATTTTTTGTTGCGGTAGCAATTTCGTTTCAACAAAACGCATTTACTTATGGCAACATGACTTTTTTCGTCTTTGCAAATATTTTACTAACATTAGCTAAAATACCCTAGCACTTCTACGATTTCGTCAAGTGTATGACAGGCTTAACACGATCTACATACAATAGATATTTAGTATTTATTTATTAATATTTACAATGAAGACAGGTTTAAAGGACTTTTTTCTTTAATTTAAATAACTAAATACGTACAGTTAATCTAAAGCACTTACACTAATTGTTGTTAAATGTCGTGATTACTTGTATGTAACTTTATTCTACATATACTTTAGTAATCTAATATATTAACCATTAGAATTGATTGTAATGTTAATATGTACAAGAAGTGAGGCAAGTCCCAAATATTCACTATAAGCATTTTTTAAACAAACACTTCTATAACCTGTACGAAGGCAAGTAACCTGTAATAAAAAATATATCTGTTAATTTATCAACCATTAAACTTCACAAATAATATACCAACATAAAAATTGCCAAATTTTAATAATGCCACAAATTAATAGAAGATTAAAGTTTAAAGAAAAGGAAAAAAGTGTGACTTGTTTGATATTGTAAATATAAGATAGAATTATTACTTTTTCTTAAGTTCATATTACAGCATATGTACTTAAGGGCGCCGTATTCTTTAAATAGTGTTTTCCACAAAGATAAATAATTTCAAACATTTAATACTGAATAATCTGAAGCTTATCAAATAATAGGAATGTTTTGTTATGCCATCTGAGTATTTTCAAAGACGCCGCAGGTTTTTTAGTCGTCCAAATTTTATTTAATTTCAAGTGGAAATCTAGATTTTTGGAAAAACACATTTTAAAACTTTGACACTGTAACTAAGGAACGAAGCGAAATCGGACCCATGTTGATATGAAAAAATAATCTTGTTTTTGGGTTAGGAATCTGCCCCTGAGCGTTGGCCTATGTTTTCTGAAACACCCTGTATAAATTCGAAGCATTGAGTCGAATATTTACAAATTATTATACATATAACTGGAATGGTCAATCTATGTATAACTTTCATAGAATAATAAATCCTGAGCCTGCTACAATTTTTTCATGGGTAAAAATTAGTTGTAATTTTAAAATTCGAAATGTTACAAATGTTCGGTCGGGAGCACTGGGCGCAGGAGTCGTTCGGTTGGAACTATTTTTATGTCGCTGTGTAGGTTAGACCTTCTGCGTCGAATGGAATTGGTCTGGACATTCCACGTTTACAGGGGTTGCAACGAGGAGGAAATGGTGGACATCTACATTTTGACTACTTTTCATAAGGCTCTGTCGATGTTTAACTGTATTATAAGTGAACTTGAGTGTGAAAACTAAGACACATGGGGCAGGGGATAAATTTTTGTGTAGGAGTGGAATATCAGTATGGTTTTCAATGGCAAAAAGGGAAAATGTTGATACGTCGATAAAAATGCGCAAACTATTCCTGAAACATTCATTTCAGTTGTTGCAATCCTGTTATCTACTGAACTAGCTGAAAAAGGGATTTCTTATTATTTATTTTAATAGATAAAACACCTAAAATCTAGAAATTGCATCATAAATATAATACAATTTCGAAAATAGTGAATGACATCTAATATGGTATTAATTGGAATGCTATTAAAAAACTGAAAAATATATGAGTTTATAAGCAAACATTGAACATCTTCATGTATTGTACTTTCATTTTTTGTAGTGTACTCAAAACAACACATACGAGTATTTCAGCGCTAAAAAGATGTAGAAGAAAAGGTACTTACTGGATAGGTAGCTTGGCCTATAAAATTGGGTTCACCAAAAACGTCGTCTTGAACGAGGAATCGCAATAATGCGAAATGGGGATTGGCTACTTCAAATATAGAGGCTTTGTCATTCCACTTTGGATTGAATCCATTGTCGTATATTCGGGTCGTAGTCAGTTTTATTCCCGAATCAAAAGGTGAGCCGATAATTTCGACTTCCACAAAAGGACTGGTAATTTTTCTTTTACATCTGTATAAATGTCTACCTGCTATTATCCTTATGGAAATGACGTAAGGTTCTACATCGATTAGGGTTTCTTTTTCAAAGGGATCAAAGCCTTCTCTAAACATAAATTCTGGCTTAAGTAAGTAACCACACATCCCGTTATTCCGAAACTTGGCCTGGTTCAGCTGCATTGGTTTGTCGCCTGTTTGGAAATTTAATGCTACCATTTGTGACCCACAGTTCCACATGTTTATAGGATTGTAATTTGAAGAAGCAACCCTTTGCGCTTTGGGATAGACTCTAGAGAACTGGACTTGGTGGTATTTCAAGAAAAATTCTCTTTCCTGTTGACACATAATCCTTTCGGCTTTGTGTTCTGGAAAGGAAGACATCTGACAGAATGTAAAACCTTGTTGTTTGGCCTTTTCTAAATTGAAGTTGACCGATCTGCAATAGATTATGAGGTCCGACATTTCTTTTGCTATCTTTTTTGTCCTTTCCAGTTCCCTGTGTTCATTTTCCAACTGGCTTGTTTTCTCAATCACCTGTTTGATGCTTGAGTACCATTCTTGTGCCTTGTTAATTCAATTCATTATGTAATTAAAACTGAACTAATAATATTTTTTACACACATACGTAGAGTGGAATTCTACTCTCACTACAGAGATATCAGGAATCACTTATATATAATTTAAAAAATTATATAAGGTTAATAAGTGAAGTAAATTGTAATAAGATTTTCGCTGGAACATGATGGTATTGTATTTTCTGTCAGATTAGATTGCAACAAGCTTGAGTTCCGTTTAAACAAAAAATAACTCATCACACCTGTTATTTCTGTAGGGAGAAACTTGATCGACTCGGTATAAAACTTACCAGAATTTCTAATTTCACTGCACATTTAAAAACGATACATGCTTTGTTTGTAAGAATCCTTATATTCCACTCCATATCAAGGCACTCGGGATTGCGTTTTATGTCAACAACAGCTCCTTTCAAGTCCAAACATCCTTCGAACATAGATTCATTTGACTGTAAAATAATAATATTACATTTTCATAATTGTAAAACTTATGGGATCCACTAAACGCAAGTAATTACAAATTTTACTTACGTTTTCATCAATTTTGGTTCCTGGATCGACATGTGAAGAGTGTTGTTCCTAAAAAGAACCAATTTCTATTTCTTTATTTAAAAACTTATATGTCTATAGAACATCTCGATGAATAGTAAATTATACATATTTACATTGAAACTGTACTTACTGTATTCATTTTCCTAACCATTTCTTCACTTACCGCATAGGTAAGTTTGATATTGTCATATAATGAGTGGTTTTTGTAAAAGTTTATGAGGTCTGTCAGACTCTCAAATTCGTCATTACCTGCTATATATCTGAGACCATTCTGTTTAATTCTACAGTGTCTTACTTTTCCGTCACCTCTGAAATATAAGTACGTGATATACGTTAATGGAAAATTAAAAAAAATTAACACGAATAAGTTTCCGTCTTAGATACCTCCACCACGTTACGCACTGATTATCTTGAAAACGGTAAGTTTACACCGTACACCGTATACATTTAATAAACGCTACCTAATATTAACTAAGAAAATCGAAAGTGCAATAATAAACAGGGTGTTCCATTTAAAATAACAAAATTATGTAGCGCTCACGCGAAATGGAACACCCTGTAAAGCTAAAATTATTTTCTTTACGTGGCCCACATGATTCTAAACTACTTTTATTAAAACATTTTTTTTATAAATTTTACAGTCACAGAGTTACAGAAGAATCCTTCTTAGATGGAACGCCCTGTATATTAAAATATAAGGCATTCCCTAAGACTAGGTATTGAAATAATATAGAATAAATAAATATGCTTCGAAAATACGCACCTAAAAGTTATCGCATAACAATTATTAGGATCATTCTCACTGGCGCGAACCAAAAACGCACCTTCAACTTCAATTCTCTTCAATATTTCTTCGGCTTGACTTTTGCTTATGTTCTGGTGGTACCACTCGTTAGTCTCACATAAATTTTGTTGTGGCACAGGTTCATGTAGTACAATGGTGAAACCTGGAGTAATTAAAGGCGAAGTTCGATAATGTGTTATTAGATGGTAAAGACTATTGTAGCATTCGGATGCAACTAAATAATATTGTTTTTTCTGCTCATCTTCCTTGCAATATATTTGCAAATGTTTCACTTGACCATTATACCAAAGAGAGAGAGAGTAACCTTCAGTATTCCTAGAGCTCTGTCTAACTAAGAAGGTACCGTCACCTACAACAATTTTAAGATATCACAATATAGTATGAATGCCATATTTGTTTTGGTACACATAAATACATTTAGAAACATATTGCTCTGAAACTAAATGCTAAGTTACAGTCTGGTACCTATTTGTTGAGATAGAATGCGAAAAAAGAATAAGCCAGTCGTTTATCTATTTTCACCTATTTTCTATCACTTTGCTGGTCCAATTTATATTTTGCCTCATGCGCACGTACGCAATAGAGAGAAAGTACATCACTTTTGCAAATCGCTTTGGGAAACACGGCTTCTATCGTCCATGAAGTGATATAAACAACATTGACAATAGACTTCCTTGTATAGAATCGATGGGTTGTGCCAGATCTTTCTCATTTTCTTTGTCCTGAGATATTATACTGATGGCTTATTCAATACTTCTGTTAGTATATCCATTTTCTCCGAGAATTGAGGTTATGTAGCACTTTGGCAAGTGCACTGGCTCATAGGCGTATTTTAAGCAATAAGGTATGAGATGCTACTAGATTGGATGATATCCAGACTCAGTATTCATGCCAGTATGTTTATCCGTGTCCTATTTACATACGCTAGCTTTCATTGAACTAGGGGTCATCTGGTTTCTTCTTGACGATGATATCTAGAGATGGAAGAGTACCATTTCCCTCTGTCTCGTTGTGTTCCATTATTGTGATCCATGATTGTGATTGTCAGTATATACTGGGAAAGCACCTTCAATGAAGGCTTATCGCAAGACACAAGAATTATAATAGATTTGGCCAAAGGGTGCACCAGATGGACATTCCCTTCAACTAAGTGTAGGGGCCGTTCTGGGTCCATAACTTTCGCCAGCCCTAGCAAAACTTACATGGAAATCTTCGACACGAAGGCTATCAATTATACAACTAGTAAAAAGTGTTGGTTCGGATAGTATGTGTTAACGATACAGTTATTATATGGCTCCATGGGTATAACAACATAGAATGATGTTTGTACTATATTAATGGAGTAGAACGCAGGAAATTACATCTACAGAAAACCAACTCATCAAGGAAAACAGGAATATCTGGAATATTTATGTTGATACCAGATACCCTAGATGTACTGATAAGATGGGTTGTCTCTTAAGATTACACAATAATAATACCCTCCTCAAGATTTAAGGGAAGATGCCTTTCCAAGATGAACTACAATAGTGATCAGTAGTGAAGTGTCACCTAAAGAGTTACAACGGAGAGATGTCTGCAATGGTGCAATATATGATGTACTACCATTTAACAGACTCTAGTAAGACTTTGGACAGAGAAGTCTCAGGAGCGTTATGTCTCTCGCAACGCCAAAAAAGCTATACTGACGGCGTGATAGGCAGCAGAATTGTTCAAGTAGCAAACCAATCTATGTTTGTCTCAATCATTTATAAAGTGCGACATAGAGTATAATCAAAAAGAACATAAAATACTCGTCTAGGATGAAACGTGAGGAGTCCGTTACTTGCATGTTTATTATTTTTTTTATTGAAAAAATAAAAGACGTAACTGAGTGTTACATCTAGTGGTTACTATTAAGGTTGCAAATGGCTAAGACGTTAAAGCGGACAACAATGGCAATAAGTCCTATAACTGTAGGTGCTATGACAGCATGACCAGTGAGCCACTATGCTTATAAAAACAAACTTTTAGTGTGAATATTGCTAGTGTCAGTCAACGCTAGCGAGGACATACAGCCCGTAGAGTATTTGTTTTCTACAATATTCACTATGTGCTTTTCTAACTTTTCTTTAATGAAACGGCGACGTTTATCACTTAATATTAACTTGTGTAGGGAAAACGACACTTCAACGTCTAAACTATAAATAAAACTTTACATATGTTTTCCGAAGTGGTGTATCTTGGATTTTTTCCAACACTCTTTGCATTTTTTCTTTTATCGTACTACTAACTGGGAATATATTATAGGCATCGTATATATTTTTTTGTACATCATCCATTTTATCATATTGTTCATTTAGGGAAAGTCCATGTGGTTCCAATTTACGGAATTATGGAGCTTGGGGTTCTCTAGTTTGCTTGAAAGAAAGGCGTCTGTAAGTTCATAGAAGTATACAGAGTCTTCAGTGCTGGAAGAGGCATGGCTCTTCAGATGTCTTATCAAATTAGTTTTGTAACAAGGATTTATAATGCGTTCACACACAGTACAAAATAGGTAATTTCCTTTAATATGTAGGTATGTCCCTGTAACTTTCGGGATCACTGTCAAATCACATTTGAAATAATTCCCGTCTATTTTTTTCTATTTTGGCATTTTACTTCACTTGTCCCCCCAACTAATAGTTATTGTTAATGTAAAATATGTTACTATTTATAAATAGTCATTACCTAGGTATGAGTATTTCTTTAACAACTTTTCAGCTTTTCTTCCCTTTCCTTTTAAATGCTTATGAAACCACATTTGGCTAAGGTGCAGTTCCCTTTCGGGAACATCGCTCTTGAGCTTTTGAAACGAATCATCCTCTTCATCTTCTGACATAACGAACCCCTGATCCATTTTGTAATCTTTAGTATAAAATAATTTGTTTTGCGTAAGCAGAAAGAAGTGCGGCTCCCACTCATTATTCTCAGGATTTTCCAAATACATAATACCACTTTTCACTGAAGTTAACATGTCATTATCAGAGATTTCATTTTTAACAGACACATCTTCTTGTCCTTCGGGCAGTTTTTTATTTTTCAGTATGATTTTGTTGCGTAACGCATAAGGCGAGGGAAGCTCTGTTAAACTTTCTGCCGGAGGAACTGCCAACATGTCGCCAAATATTTCCTGAAATATTGTATTTAAAGTTTCTTTCTAAACTTAAATGATGAACTGCTGAATATATATTTTTATGTTATAACTATCGTTAATAGAATTGTTTACCTGCATTGCTAATGCCATTTTTCTTTGTTGAGGGAGTGAACAATATTGCTCTATGGACAAAATAACTGGATAATCTGAAGTTACAAAGGCATGATCTTTTATGACTTTTATGACATCTACGAATTTTATTTTAGATGTTAGGGTGTACCCATGAAATATGCAAGGCATTCCGTCCGGGCCATCCCAGCAGTCAAGCTCTATACACCTACAGCCCATTCTTAAACATCTAGCATAAGCTTCCACAGATGACATACTGTTGACTTGATTACCAGTTAAATAGCTAAAATAGAGTTTATTTAAAATCATCAAATAACGTAAACAAATAAGATAATATGAGAGTTAAATTGTAATTAATAACTCACGTGTTATGCGAAGACGAAATCCAATAATGGGACAAGGGTTTTGACATATCTTGATAAACTTTGTCTTTTGTTGGGTTCCAAATTTCATTTTCTCTAGAAAATAAGAAATCTAGGAATTCTGGAATTGTAAAATAGGGTTCTTGAATTTCTCTTAGTGGGTCCCTTAAGAAATTACATATTAATTGAGATACAGCTCTGTCGTCATTTCCCAATTCATCGTCTTGTTCACTTGATAAGAAACTTTCAACTTCTTGTAGTGTTAGTATCTTTACATCGGACGAATACAGTAAGATTCTGTCAAAAAATTCTGCAGGGTTCTAAAAAATATATTCACAGTTATATAATAAAGTTGGTGTACTTTTCAGGAACAACGAAAAAAAAAGTTTCAGATAGAAGTTGTAGGATATCAAGAAACCAAGGCGACCTTGGATTTGATCTTCTCCACAATTTGTCATTCAAAATTCTACAAATTTTTGCTTAAAGTTGACCTTGGTTCGTCCTTGAATCTTAAGGTCAAAGTCAAATCCAAGGCCGCCAGCATATTTCCTATGTGATATCATATTACTGCTATCTCAAACTGTTTTTGATAGAGCTCAGTTCTGAAAAGTTTTCATTACTGCTAGAATGAAAAGAGTGACCGCAAAAACAGCATATTTTTAGCCTATTTTTTCACCCTTGCCAGAGACAAAAAAAAATCCTAAAAATATTCTGCATATGTCAAATTATTATTGGTAATGAAAAATCAAGATGCGCATATTTTTTAGTTTTTTGAAAAATGTCGAATATCACCCCTAATTAGGGCTTGATATGATGACGTAAAACTGAAATATATGAATAATATTAATAAGAATAAAAGCAATTCTCATTATATTTTTTTTATAAAATAAAATCTTACAAATAGGAAATAATTTATTTTCATGATTAATGAGGGCGTGATATAGTTGTAAGTCCACCCTTAAATTAGCAAAAGGGCTTAAATCATCCCCTAAATACGGAAAAAATCAAAAATTACTTGAAAAATCTAGGAAAAAGTACTAGGATATTCTAAATTATTAGCAATTCAAGTCGTGTACTTCTTACTAGTATCTATAAGAAAACCACCCCTGTAACGAAGGGGTGAACTACCCCCGAACGTGATAACATACGAAAATATCATAGCGATATATAAAAACTGTCGAATATTTTATAATAGACCTTACTTTTCTGATCAGAAAGATTGAGCTGACTTGACCTAATTATTCCAAATTTTTTTTTATTAAAATCAACCCTCATTGGGGGTGAAATCATCCCCTAACTATAAAAAAATAAAAAAATATTTGAAAAATCTTGATTTTTCAAGTAATTTTATATTTTTCCGTATTTAGGGGATGATTTAAGCCCCTTCGCGACAACTATATTACGCCCTCATTAATCATGAAAATAGATTATGTCCTATTTGTAGGATTTTATTTTATAGAAAAAATACACTTAGAATTGCTTTTATTCTTACTGATATTATTCATACATTTCAGTTTTGCGTCATCATATCAACCCCTAATTAGAGGTGGTTTTCGACATTTTTCGAAAAACTAAAAAATATGCTCATCTTGATTTTTCATTACCAATAATTTGACATTAGCAGAATATTTTTAGGATTTTTTTTAAGGTCTCTGGTAAGGATGAGAAAATAGGCTAACTCTTTATAGTTCATTCACTTACGTCTTCATTTGTTATCATTTGATAAAGAACTGCGAAATCATCAAAACCAATTTCTCCTCTTTCTCTGGTATCAACTTCATTAAAAATCTCTCTTAATTTATTGTTAGTAATTTTACAGTTAATTCTCGAAAGAAAAAATTTTATGTCTTTTAGACCTATCCTAAAATAAAGAATTATACGTATGACTATTATTTCAAAGAATACAGAAAATGTGTTTTACTTTTCGTTTTGACTTTCCACAGCATTAAACTCTTTTCTCAACCATGCTTGAACTTGAAGTAGGTATGGCGCATTTATCGTATCTTTGACTAAATACCTTAGACCTCTTATCCACTGGTCGCAATCAGCTTCTGAGGTAGCTAGAGTAAAAGAATGTTATATACAGGGTGTCCCACATAAGAACCGACACTGGGCATGTGCATGTAGGTGTGTCCAAAATATTGTAATTTAACCAAATTTCGGAGAAAATTAATATATCTGCAACATTTTACCGCAGAAGAATCAAATTTGGTATATGATTTAAGTTTGTTACTGGTCATCTTCGACTATGATTTAAAGTTAATTGAAGCAATACAAGGTGTTCATTGGGGATGACTCACCCCTAAAATTGCACCGAACTTTTTTTCATTGACCGAATTGAAAAATAATAATATTAAATCACAGCAGTATTTAATTTTAAAAATTTTTACTCTTGTACTCTTGTTAAATTTTAAAAAAACTTTATGGCTTTCAAGAAAAACTGTATTAACTGAAACAAGATTTTAACAGTTTTTATTATAGCTGTTTTACATTGACAATTTATTCATCAATAAATTGACGAAGTTCTTCATCAATTAATTCACGAATTTATTGATAAACAGTGTGGTTTTATAGCTGTTTTACATTGACAATTTATTGATCAATTAATTGATTAAGTTGTTTCATCAAGAAATTGGTCAAGTGTAATGCACCAAATCTGCTGTCAAATAACTTCATGAATTTATTCATCAAGTTCTTGACAAATTAGAGCATGTTAAGATTAGATATAAGATCCACTTCTTATTTGTGGAAGGGCGAAAAGGGCGGTGAGTATTAGACGCCTTCACTATAGCCATCTTTCTCTATCGCACGGATTTCTATGACTTACTTTATCGCTCTCACGTAACGGCTGATGAACCATGGGGACTTTCCGACCCTGTATGTGTCAGAACGGTACCGCTGTTGTATCACTACAATTATGAGTGGAAAGGTGACATTTTTTAAATTTATTTGCTTCTTTGATTCATTGGTAGAACTGATTCATACGTCAAAAAACTTGACAAAGTCTGTCGTGAATTAATTCATGAGGAACTTCGTTAATTTATTCATAAATAAATTGTCAATGTAAAACAGCTATTAGAAAATAATAGAAAAGCCAGTAGTAGGCAATGAATTTATCTTTCAAACTTGTCAGATAGTAATAAATAGTATATTATTCAACGAGCGTATAATGATGGGTATTATTCACGAGGTGAAGTTTACGGCCACGAGCCGCAGGCGAGTGGCCTAAATCACCGAGTGAATAATACCCATTATACGGGAGTAGAATACTATACTTTATCCACGACTACTAAATATTTTTGTTGAAGTTTTTTTTGAAATGTTTCGAAAAACATGGCATGTTAAGAAACAGATATACGACTCGCACAAATGAAGTCGCTGATGGCTCAGTGTAGATGCTCTTTCCCTTCCAGCCGCGGGTCCCGGGTTCGAATCTGGTCTAGGAAAATTCACTTTTTGATTTTTTTTTTTATATGTACAGCACTGAATTGAAAATATTTAGTGGTTTACACGATAAAATTTTAAAAACGGATTGTTTGTAGCAGAACAATATAATATTATAGCTAAATTAAGGAAGCATCTGACAGTAGTGATTAATGACTCATTAATCACTGCCGTGATTAATGGGTATTATTAAGGTCGAGCAAACAGACGTATAATGGGTACATTACACAATAGTCGTGGATAAATTATTTTATTTCAACAATTGCCTCTGATTGTTGTTGAAAAAATAACAATTATTATTTTTATTATTTATTTGTGTTTTTTACTTAATACAGTATTCGCTTATTTAAAAACTACCTAGGTACTTCTAGTTTTCTTTTTGTAGAATTAGGAGAGAAGTGAAGTTAGTTTGGCCAATTGTCAAATTTGAAAGATAAAGCCTACTACTGACTTTTTTATTATTTTCCAATGAACACTGTTAAAATCTTGTGTCAGTTAATACGGTTTTTCTTGAAAACTATAAAGTTTTTTAAAATTCAACAAGAGTAAAAAAAATTTAAATTAAATTCTGCTGTGAATTAATATTACTATTTTTCAATTCGGTCAATGAAGAAAAAGTTCGGTACAATTTTAGAGGTGAGTCATCCCCAATGAGCACCTTCTAGTGCTTCAATTAATTTTAAATCATCGTCAAAGAAGACCAGTAATAAACCTAAATCATTTACCAAATTTGGTTCTTCTACGGCAAAGTGTTGCAGAGATATTAATTTTTTTCGAAATTTAGAGCCCCACTTTGGGGGCTACTAACTCCTCAAAATGCAACTTTGTATATAGGTAAGTATGGTTAAATTACAATATTTTGTATAAGAACCAAAAATAAATATTCTTCTAAATGCAAGATTTGTGGTTTCAGTATTACCTGCAATGTTTAAAACTCTCAAGTTAAATTCAGATCCATAAAATACAACAAAACATTGCGAATTTTCAAAATCTTTCGCATCCTCAGACCACTTCTCAAAAACTTGAGACAGTTTTCCTAGCCTAATTTCTTTGATTTCGTCCCAATCCACAGCGCCGTCATAAATTGGTTTATCAACAGTTACAGAACGCGTCCATATAATTTGTCTAGTATCGCGTCTAATCGCTAAAATTTTATGTTCTGCCCTTTTTCTCCAAGAAAATTTAACTACTAATGTTCCCCTTTCCAAGTGATTGATAATCTTCTCCATTTCTGGTATATAACCAGAAGAAGGCGAAGACATTCCATTGAATAAACCAAACATTCTATTAACCTGAAAGAAATTAAATAATTTTATCTGCTCCCACTATAGTAAATAGACTATTAATTCATTGTTTTTAAGGAGGTAGGTGGATTTTACCATAGAAGTGGAAGTAGCTATGAACAACGGGAGGTAAGTGATGTCACTTACCTCTTCAGGGAAAAAAGCGATTTTGAGTTATAAATTTTATGAACAAATAAATAGAAATATTTCATGAACAGCATTTTATTAAGTATGAAGCATTTTATTAATTATTATGATTTACAGTAATTGTACAGTAATTATATTTAGTAACATTTATAAAATCTGGAAATTAATTCCCTCGTGTTTACTAATTGTCATCATGTCTCTTGATTGCTAATACATCAACTCCTGTATTAGCCAGTAACGTTGCCGATGTTCTTCGGAATGAATGGCCTGTATGTTTCAGGATGTCCTAGTTTCAAAAACTGTGCAATCTTATTAGGAATCATAGAAAGGGTATTCTTGCCGACTGGTTGGTTCTAACATTTACCTGCTTGATAGCGCATAAAAAATCGTGAAATTTCAGTTTTAATTTCCAATCTAATCTTGATATATTTCTTGCGAATTTCTAGATGAGAAACAGAACCCAGACGAAAATCAATAATTGTAAACATACGTGACATATCATTTTTAGAATCTGGAATTTTAACTACAATAATGTCATCGAAATTTTTGAAATTGACGTTGTACAAAGTTTGCAGAACGGCATGCTCCTGCAATGCCTAAGACCGTCACTACCTTCATTAGCAAATATGTGTCATTGGGTGCCCGAACGAGAAAATCGTTCTCTTGTAAAAACGTTTGACTTTTTAGGTGTATAGCCGTCATTCTTACGTTTCAAAAATGCTTAGGTATTTTGATATATTCACATTCTCCTCTTTGAAAATAGTTGACTTAATCATTGAGTATTCACTACATAAACTCGCCAGTGCTTTAAAGTTCTTGTCTTCTCCATGAAATATGCTAACACTGACATTTCAGAAACACCAGTATTTTTGTTCTGGCATCATTCTTTCGAATTTCAATATGCTCGCAAAATTGCAACTTTTATATAGCTTTGTTTATAGACACCTTAGAAACGACAAAATCCAAACAACGAATGAGACTTTGCAAGATTTCGAATAATGTCAAAATGAATCGATTAAAAAATGTCAAAAAATAAAACCTAATCTTTTATTTCTTGAACCATAAAGAACTATGGGAGCAGATAAAATGTTATACACCATACACGACGCAGCAGTTAAGTCGCTCCGCTCGGGCGCAAAATCGTCCTCGACTGGTAAATAATAATTACCTCCTTTAGGCTAATAACTATAAAATAGACTATGGCGACTAAGATCTAGAAATTATTTAATATGGGTAAAAGACTAACAAAGAGATTGGTAAGAATATAAAACGATAAAAGGTGTATACAACTATTTAATTGTACATTATTTAACATTAACTATTAATTTGTATAAATATGGATATTCTTTTACTATGTAAAAGGGATGTGAGAAAGTCAATATATAAACAATTTGAAGTTAAATGTAATCAAAACTCATTGGATTTTCGAGACTCTATAAACTGCAGCAAAATGTGTGTTAATTTTCTCCCAACAACTCATTGGCATTAGAAGATTCGAAAAAGCACATATAAATGGATATTACTACTGTTTTTTATGTTTTACATAAGATGGATATCGGCCAAGAATTGGCTTTTGTGAAGATCTGGCTAGTATTTATATTTGCGTTGACATTTATTAAGAAAAACATTTTGTACCCCTACTTTGATAACTTATTTTTCATGAAATAAGAATTTCCGTTTCGTTTTATTTTAACTTTTAGCATCATGTATAGACCGAACTTATAGGAACTTTGACTTCATCTCAATAAGTACAGCATTCAAAAGTGATCTACCGATAATTTGTTTTGTCATGTGAATACCGTCAAAAAGTGTTTCGAATCACATTGTGAAACTTTCTCAAAATCAGTGTGTTCTATAGAAAAAAGAGGAGTACGTTTTATCTATGTAATTTACCCTGCTGTTTCAGAAAATGCCTTACTTTTCGAAATTTTCGGTAGGGTAGAAGTAGGTACTTATAAAAAAAGATAATAATAACCCTTTGGTGAATCCGCTTAGAACAGCCTGTATCTCGAAACGAAACGTTTCTGATTGTATGATCATACTATCCCTTTTTGTTATTTTTTTCACAAGTGGCAAAATATCCAAATAAACGAAGAGAGATCATTATCGATATTTGTTTTAAACTAAGTAACAGAGATCAATAAATTAAGAAAAAGGTACTTACTATGAAGGTAAATTTGAACTGTGAACTACATGTAATTTAATTTCACAATTACAGATGACGTGTATAAATAGCATAATATGTTATACTTAAACACACTGTTCTATAACCAACACATTTTACAAGTTATTGTAACAAATTTTCCCTATTCGCTCATAATTCGGTGATAGAGTACCAAAATCACAATATCAAAACTTAACTACAGGCAAATAAAAAAAGACATCTCATTTGGGTAATGAAATTTCCTGACGTAGTGATATTTTTTATCAACTCTGATATTGCGGCGAAGAACTATCTGGGGATGTGGGAATATTGAGACAGGATTGGCTTCGACCAAAGTGATGATAACGAACAGTATTGGACTCACAATATTTATTCTCATTCCATTTTCTTATTTTATTCTGTAGTTTGATTGAAATAATTTATTTGTTGCTACTTATATAAGTTTTTTAATGACATAATAACTTTTGGCACCAGTCAATGAACGCTAAACGCTATAAACTATTTGTGATGGTAAACAAAAACGTGAAGATAATATGTCTACATCTTAAATGAAAATTTTGTACAGGCATGTAAATAGTTTGACGATTCTTTTCGTTGACGTTACAATTTCTATTATCTTAAATTGTCTATCTGGAATGAAATTAAAAATTATCCAAATTAATTGAATAACCACATAAAATAATTACTGTTCAAAATGCCTGCGAAATTGTACCCGTTTTTATGAAGCCAAATTCATTAATACTACGTCGAAGAAATTATTTTAAACCTCTTCCGTTTCTGATTAATGCGGTATGTTTATGATTGATAAGTTAAGTTCTTACTCATTTATGTAAAATTATATTTATTCTCATTAACTTTTTATGGTTTCATTTTCGAAGTAAGACGGAAATACTTTTAAAGAAAGAAATTGGAGATCAAAACTTAGGACAATATTAACATGTGTTTTGTCTGAATTGCTTGTAATAAATACATAAAATACGGGCTGCCTAAATATGTGACGTCACACTAAAAGAGTCTATAGCGAAATAGCAATATTACGTCTGACTACAAGAAACTTGTAGTCAGACGACATTGTTAATCGAAATCTATAGTAGAGTCACAGTATTCCTAGTTTTAAAATTATTTATAGTAGAGTATATTTCGTTTGCAGTTCCTTTAAAACTTACGGGAGGTCTGAACTCCAAGCTGTGAATATAAATAACATCACTTGTAGTTATTTGTAGTGTGTAGCGTTTATTTTGTTTATAGTTCCTCGGAATCTAACGTAACCACAAACGATTTTTAAATCCATCGGCTGGAGTATAGTGGTTCTAGATTAGATTTCAAGGAACTACAAATGAAATATAACATATATTAACACCAAAAGTGATTTACTTTATATTTTTTTACACAAAGATGAAGAGAAAAATGCTCGGATAGATAAGAAATCTAAATTTGCATTTATAAATCATTTACTTGCACATTGAGCGAGCCAATTATTAATTATTCTCTTTTATAATGCTCTATTAGCAAGATTTTTTTCAGCGTAAGTTTTCGCCATCATTAGTAGATCGACCACAGAAACAACACAAACGTCCTAAAGTGAATATGGTCCTAAAGTGAATATAGTCTCACATTAGATCAATCTTGTAGTGTTTTACTTTCAGCTTAATGTTTTCGTTTGATTAAACCCTTTATTTAATTTGAAAGCACTAGGCGTTTAATTGCCCGTTTTTATTGAATTTAGACCCTCCACTTACGGATTACACAACGTTGAAGTGTATATTTTGGTATAAAAATTATTTTGGACAGACGGATGTAAATAGTTTTCAGCAATTTCGAATTAGCGGAATTTGGTTCTAATGTATTTCAAAAAAATATCGATGGTAAACGGTTTTTTTTTATAAACAGGGCATATATTTTTTAAATCCTAAAATTTGTTCATGCACCTTTGCATGCATTTGCGGAATGCAAATAGTTAAAATTAAAAAAAAAGTATAAAAATAATTTTTCCTGTGCAATGCAAAAGCGTATTTCCTCATGGTTTAGCCGATATGAGAGTGACATTTTCTTCTATCTTAAGCAGAGAATCTCTCTTAAAAAACATATATTTTATTTTTTGACTCTAAAACACCACACTAATTTAAACGAATTTGTTTTGTACATGTACTTGAAAAAGTCAAATGATTACCACATTGTAACAACAAAGTATACCTACAAAGTGTTTTAATATACTAAAATAAAACTGGTTATAGAATTTGATTAGAGGTAAGAAAGAGGTACTCAGTGTTTCTAATTTAAAACTGTTTTTGAACAATACTTCTCATAAAAAAACAAAATAACTGAAATCTAATTAGATACTGGTTATAAGGACAATAGGATGTCGACAGAACTTTTCCTATCGAAAATATTTAATTAAACTGTATTTCAATTTAAATTTTATAAAGTTAAATAATTGCATTTCTCAATAAAATGAAACGTACTCTATGTGAGAAGTTTTCTCCTCGATCGTAGCAGCTTTCAGGAACAACAGTTTTACGTGTTTCCGTGTGGTTTGTACATGTAAAAGTTTTAGATATCGATAAATATCAGCAGGGATCAGTTCCGCTTTTAATAATGAAATTTATACTAAATAATTTAAATTTAGACAATGTCGCACAATCCACTACGTCGAATTTTATGAGGGTAGGGGAGAGCGGCTATGAAATGGACATATTGCTTAAGGGCCCCATATTCTTTAAATAGTGTTTTCCGCAAAGACAAATAATTTCAAACATTTAATAACTGAATAATCTAAAGCTTATCAAATAATAGGAATATTATGTCATGCCACCTGAGTATTTTCAAAGACGCCGCAGTAAAACGAATAAACAGGTGCAAAAAACGATCAAACCATCAAGGTTTTAGGTACTGAAATCTACGAAAATACTAACTTTTTTTATATAAAACTCCACATGTAAATATTCTTATAACATTTACTTGCTTAGTCCTACATATAAAATTGTTTACTTTTATTTATAAATACGTGAAAATAATTCTTAAAATGTGGGGTTAGAATAACAGCAAACGCATGTTTTACAAACGTTTTTTTTACTTATTATTTTATTTGAGTAAATTTAAATGGTAACAATGAATAAACAAAACATCAAGGATTTTATTTTTGCGCTTACTTTTGTTCTACACGTTATACTTTTAAAGATTTCAGTACCTAAAAACGCCAGAAATTTCACTATTTCTCGGCCAGGAATATGACCACCTTAAACCGTCTCCATTTATTTTTGTACTTTTTTAAATACTAGGACAAATAAAATATTAACAGGTAATTAATGAATTAAAAACTCGACATTCTATATTTATATAATTCTAAAAAATATATATTTACTTATTACCATTAACTTTTATATTTATAGTAATAGACATTTCGGTTTTTGTTTTATCACATTTAACTTCCTTTCGGTTAATAACAACTCTTTTAGCATTGTTGCCATCATTTTCGGAACGCATAACATTTGCTGAAGTTTGAGAAGAATTAGCACAAGTTACGGATGTCCAGCCATAGTTTCCTTGGATTTTCCTTGCAATATCAAGTTTGTTAGATACAGACTCCTCAACATAACTTCTACAGAGGAGCTTTTCCATCCACCATGCCGTTTGATGGTTATAAGATCAGCACTTTTATTGGCCAATAAAGTTGTTATAGTGTGCCTCATACAATGGCCAGTGTATGCTTCTGGATTTGCGATATTCAGGAATGAAGCAACTATTGAGGGTATCTTCGCCAATGTTTGATTCCAAGAGGCTGAAAACTACATTTTCGATTGATGTATCTCAAAAAGAATCTGTCTTGTGTTAGGCGAATAGGGCACAGAGAAATATATTTTCTGCATATTTCAACAGCATTCACGCAAAATTCTTCTTCTATATTTAATTGTAAATATTGTAAATTTTCTTGAAATGCCCGTCTTGGTGTCAGGTATTGAAGCAAGTAGGTAATTGCCAACATACGTCACTAATTTTCAAATTTGTCATTTTGCAACATCGACAGTCATCATTATTAGTGCAACTAAAATAATTCAGTTCAATCATTAAATATCCTTTATCGGAAGCTCCATTCAAAAGTTCTTCAATATGTGCTCTTTCCAATACTGTTTTTTTGCTTTGTATCCTCTCGATTCACTCTTCAAATAAGGAGTAAGCTTGTTATATTTTCCAATATCTATATTTTTGTAGACTTATACAGTAACCTTCAACATCGAATACTTCGACCATATAGATGAAATTGCATATTTTTTCTTAAAAAAAAATACGATAGTATGACTTCTTGATTTATTGTCATTACTCTCCGTTTTTCTCTCCATTCGTTAAATTTTGCGAACACTTTTTCGTAATGTTCCCTGGATTTCGCTAGCAATAAATGGAAAATTGTTTTTTGGGCTTCTTCAAAAGCAGCCAAAGGAACACAATTACTTTCTTGCATTTTTACCAAAATCATATGTTCTGACGTTCTCGCGTTTAAACATTCTTGCGTGGATAAAATGCTACCTAAAACACTTAAGTATACAATAAATAATTATTACTTCATTCATAACACCAACGTTTTGAAAAAGACAACAACTGTTTTGAAATCAACGTAAGAGAAAGTGTAGATAATCCAAGAAGTTTTATTTATTTTTTATTTACTTTGTATCTAACTACAGTTGTTGCATAAAAATGAAGTATTTTAATTCGCATTCTTCAGCCTTCATATGGCCATTTTTTTTTAATCAAAAACTTCATTCAGTCAGTGATGTTTAAAATTTATTTACCTTTACAAAACACATGCTGAACATTTTTAGAGTTTTCTTTATTTGCTACATTTTGAGTAATCTCTTTTTGATTTGCCACATGCCAAGAAATTAAATTCTGAAGGAAATGTCTCTTCATTATGTTTGTATCCTTAGACTGCCTAATTTCCGGGTGTAGTAAGACACTCAGTATTAATCATACCATTACAAAACCGGTGCCTGAAATCTCATTAACTCCTGTGTAAATATCCCCGTTATTAATAAACTTTTATTAGAGGAATTCTTATGAATTTAATAATTTTTGGTATCAGTACCTTTTAAAATTAAAACCTCACTTTTAAAAATATCCTACATGTATGTTATGTCCTGTACCTAAGCAATAAAGCTTAGTTAGGTATCTCTACTTGAAAAACTTGGAAGGAATACGTACAAGTATATTAATTATGGTTTTCTATTCAATAATAGCCCTTT